ATGGCTCATTTCATTCCAATTCAATATTATAGGCTATAATCGGCAAGAGAATAACTAGGAAATTATAGTATTTCTTATTATGACATTATAACTACAAAAAAATTTATCAAAGTTAATAACTAATTATATCAAAATTTTAATAATTGATATCTAAAAACTTGATTATTATATTTCATAATGTAGTTAATGATATTTTGACTAATTATTATTTCAGTCTTTAATTGGTGAGCAAAGCGGTTCAGTGCCATCTGGCATGCAGCCAACAGATACAGTAAAGTTAATCTCATATAAATATAAGAAATACTGTAACACCAAATATCAATACGATAATGCAAAGATACTGTTGCATACAAAAATGAGAACAGCTGATGAAATATGCTGCAATGTAATATTTGCCTTCAGGAAGAGTATAGGATCAATTTATATTGTGTGGTTTTACTGGTAATATTTGGTTTCTGTCGTTGTCTTTGATCATGATTACTAGGAATTGTCTAGACCCCCAAAGTTACATTCCGGTTCTGTCCATAATATAGATACACTTCCGACATTCGCATCCTGCACAGGAATTTCATAATTAAACAATAACACAGCCACGCTGAACAACAGGCAGACATCTCAAGGTGTTGTTTTAAGCAACAAGGTGCAATTCTTTTGAGTTAATGGATCAGGTACTGTTTTAACTGTGTTCTGGCAAGTTTACCTGATGTGTTCATCTTTTAGCCTAACTTTTAAGAAGTCTCTAGGCTGTAAAGGGTTAAAACACCTGTGTTTTAATGCAGATAATGTCAAAGCATATAAGCTAAATCACCTTTTTTTGTGTTAATGTGCACATGGGCCATAAATGCGGACCAATGGCTTAAATGTCTCATCCGAAAGACGGTGTGCTATGTAACTTGTATTTCAGCCCTCCAGAAGGCAGCGATGGGAATTGAACCGGGGACCTGGAGATCTCCAGGGTTCAGCGCACACACAGTGGCTACCACCAGATTAGCCGACTGAGCTAAGCTGCCCTCTTGAATCTGCCATTGGGAGTACAGCTATTATTTCGCTGGTTAAAATGCTATCCTTCTAATTCCAAGGCCTTAGGTTCTAATACTGACCAAAACAACTATACTCCCTCAGTAAGACTTGGTGTGTAAAGCATCTTGAGTGTATGCCTTATGAAAGGGATTGATACAATGTTTTATCGGCAATCATTGGTCCACATTCCTGAATAATGAATAAATAAATATTAACATAAATATATTTTTCCAAGTAGTTTTACTTTTCAAACATTTTTTGCACTCTGTTGCTATTTGGGCATTTTGGTTAAATATTAGACATTATGGCACTCAAGTGAGGGTAATTTAAACTTGTGTTTTGTCAGCAGATGACTTGTTATTCCTGGCGACCACATTTGGCTCGTTTTCCACCTTCAATAATTGGAGTCCAGCCTCCCTCTTACCCTGGTCAATTATGTAGAATATTGTCACAAATTTGTCAAATTATGATTGTGATGGAATTTGTTTTAAACTGTGAATTATGCTATTTTAATGATAGAGCCTTCAGAGCTGTGAAAAGCCTCCTGACCTAAATAAAGATTCTCCATCTTCTTTTGTAAAAAAATTCTCCCTCTTTTGTAAAGATGTTCATGTTTAAATGTTGTTGATTGTTTTTCATAAATTATATAAGTGATTGCGAGTAGAGTTTTCTTTTCTTTTTGTGCAAGAAAAATAAAATAATAACTATTTGCTAGATTTTAACTTAAACAGAATTATTTACTATACTACGGAACACCTTAATCAAGCCACATTTGTGAGAGATGAATAAAATAATGCTAGTGGGAGAAATGCAACAAGCATTTGTTGAAGAAACATTCCAATTATATACTGTACTAAATACCAACCTTAGCATAGGTAGAGCTTGCAAATTTGACAATGATGAAACGCTGAATGATGGTAACAGGTGAGTAATAAATAAAACCATTCATCAATGAAGTTGGAGGATCCCACAAATAGTAGTGGATCTTCAAAACAAGTCTCCTTGGGGACTATTGACTTTTAGTTTATAGGGTAGGTTGCTTTTGTATATGGACCATGATCAATGCTGTAGCCAGCTATTGGGACAGTTGAGACAGTCCCACACAATTTTTCTAATTGGTCCACAAAGAATGGGTCCACATTTTAAAAAATTAGTCCAAATTATGTATTTTTGTGCATAAAATGGGCCCACTTTTTGAAAAATGGGTCCAGATTTGTCATATTTAGCTTAAAATGTGTAAAATTTAAAAATATGGGTCCAGATTTTTCATACTTTTATGTAAAATTGGTTCACATTGTTTGAATTTACATGTAAAATGGGTCCACCCTGACATTGTCCCGCACTGTTTGAAAATCCTTGCTACAGCATTGACCGTGACTAGAAATAAATTCTCTATGAAGTATGTGTTGTGATCTTTTAAAAATGTAAGGGTATTGGAGGTGTGTATATGGGAGTTCTAATGGCTGTGTGTTTTATATGGAGGGTGCGACTGGAGAGATGGGGCAGGGATACTGTAAGTAATATGAGGGAATATGGAATATTTACTAACCCTATATTTATTTGATGACGAACACTATCCATACTCTTAAAGAATGTTTACTGACCTCCCTAATGACAATAAGTATGTCATAATTCTGTTGAAAGTAGGTCGTGCTATTTTGGGATTTGTGTTATAGAATGGGAAGTTAAGCATAAATAGGTCATGCTATGTTGGGATTTATGTAAGGAGGTTTGGGAAAATGAAATAGCATGGTAACCATCTTTATGGAGTCCAGTATGTTTTCAATAATGCTACAGGTATAAGATTGATTGATGCCCTCATAAAATATGTCATTCATTGTAAGTAGTGCGTAACGATTGATTATGTTCATCCTGAGTTAATTCATGCATAAAAACAATGAAACATTGCAAAACCGTACAAAAGTTTAAGAACTAATGAAACAATGTAACATTGATGGACTCATTCCAAACTTGTTGCACTTGTCATCAATAAAACTTTCTGTAGCATTTGATATTGTTAAATTTCAATACTTTTTTTTTATTCATTAAAAGAGTATTATTCTGTGGTGATGAGCCAGGGCTCAGTGGGGGTAATTTCCTCCACTTGACAAGCATCCCATCGTCTGACTGATTAAAAATCTTAATTTGCCAATTAAAACAAAGTTATCATGCTGGCCAATCTCTAATATTGTGGTCTAAAAAGCACAATTTTTGGCCATCCTAAACTATAATCCCTTGAATCCCACCAGTTTATTCCGAGAATGCTAGATAGCCTAGGTTTGGACATCCTATTTGACTTTTTGGACCTCTATCGATAAATTTCTTAGCTTCCACTGCAGTGCTTACAAATTTGATTCATTTTTGGTTGGATTAGAGGGTGTGCACATTCTACTAACAAACCATAGCTTCATATGAATTAATTTGTATATTTTGAGAATGATTATATTTTTTAAAATCCCAGTTAAAATAAAGTTTTTATATTTTGTTATGTTATAGTTTTAGCTCAGTTGGCTAAATTGGTGATAGGCACTATAAGGTAAAGGTATAGGAGTTTGCTGAACCGTGAATACCCTTTAAGATATTTTGTCTCTGGTTCAATTCCAACAGAAACTTGTGTTTCAGTTGGAGAGCTGAAATACATCACTATGATTTATAACTACTGTATCAACTCAAGTTACCTTTAGAGTCTTTTGTGAAACTTAACCCTAATCTGGGTTAGAGATTATTTATAGGTATAAAATACATTCAAAAGGAAGCGGATTGTAAATTATATAAGCTTTTGACAGAGTAATCGTATAATTTTACACCTAAAAAATGCCTAAGCTAAAAAAAAAAAAAAAAAATAAGAAAAAAAAAGACTACCTAGGAAAAATAAGCCTAGAAATACTGACAGAAAAAAAAAAGCAGAGGAAAAAGGCAATTAAATAAAATAGCAGTTTCCATCCCAAAACAATAGCATTTTTGATTGGGCAGAAGAAAAAAAGGATTGGAAAAAATTTGTGTTGTCTAAAACTCAACTGACCCAAAATTTTGAAAGAATAAGCTATGTTGGAAATATAGGCCTAGATATATTTGTTTACCATGAGGAGCCAAAAATAATAAATAAATGAAACTTTTCAAGCTTTACTGAATAAATCTTAGCCCTGTGGCTACCATTTTACTCATTAAAATGTATGAATTCATTCTTGGCAATGAATTTGACATAGGCATAATCTCAATCAACCAACATCGATTTCCAAATATTTAAATATCTCAGCACAACACAGCATTCTTAATAGCCTGTCTCCATAGAATGTCAGGAAGAAGGAAACATGTGCCTAACAACAAGGTTTCTGCAGACGTCACAACTGGAAAATAATTTTCAATCATAATTTATATTTTTCCCAGATTTCTTTCAGAGCATACAGCTAATAACAATAAAGACAATTTCTAATTTAATAAAAATATAAATTCAAAAAATGATTTGAGATGACTTTGGGACCTGAAAATTTAGGGTGGTCTCGGAATTACAGGGGTCTTAAATTGGAGGGTGCATTTTATGTTAAAAACCTTTCAGTTGTTAAGTTCAGGTGTTTAACAGGGTACCCATATCTTAATTTTGGATTTTTGTGTTTGGAAACTGTACTTTATATATATATTGTCAAATAAATAAAAATTATTTATATATTTGACAACGTTACATAAAAATAAATCCAAATAAAACTTAACATTAATAAATTGCACAAAATGTGAACATAATGATATAATATACAAATGAAATCCTCAACTGTTTTAAAAAAAAATATCCATCCACATGAATTAAATATCCAACTGAAATTGATAGCTTATACAAACACAAAGTTTATATCCTCTCTTTCTGAAAACTCTCTTGATTGGCCAATACTCAACATTGTTTTAACTACATCAACCAATCAGCATTCAGATTGTATCTTGCACGTGTTAGGCAGCTTAAAATAGCTCAGTGATATATCACTTGCTAGGGTGAACTTATACTAAATCAGCTGTAGTGGTGGATATAGACAAGTGAAACACACTTCACTTCAACATGAAGGCGACATTTTAAAAAGTTTCTTCTAAAATTACTGAGATATATTATAGTTTTTATTGTTCAAAATGGATCTTACGTGTGATAAACAAGCAGTAGTTATTGTTGGATTCTCACTTATTTTACTGGTAAGAATTTTCTCAATTTTGTGGATCTCTCATTGATGATATTTTTATTTACAGGATGAATATAATCTCTTGCCATTACAGATCAACAAATTAATCCATCATGTTTAGTTAGATCCCAGTGAGAATGGCAAAATAAAAAATGCTATGTTTGTAGCATTTACATTAATTATATAATAAAATTTAATAATATAATAATGAGATAATCATATGTATATATATATATCTGTCTCTTATACACATCTAGATGTGTATAAGAGACAGATATTATTATTGTCATCATCATGATTATTATTATCATCATCATCATCACGTGCACAATATTAGGCCTGCCTTGATTCAATATCACAACCTGTATTGCTTACTACTTTACTCCCCTGCAATTCAACAGAAATTCAGAACTTATGATTTATACAACTTTACTGTTATATTGCTAATCCCCTGCAGTGAATAATATAATCACTATAGAGCTTGCATTTTTAAGGAAGTCATCAAAAGTGGGTTTCAAGTGGAAAACTCAATCACATTGTTATTCTTTTTTCATTCAATATCAATTATATAAGGAATGGGAATAGAAATTGTATGGGAAAACAGATAGGAATGGTAGTGTTGGATTGAAAGCAATAGAGAAAGAAAAAAGATGGAACAGTGAAAAACGATTGGGAAGGGATAGGTTTTGAGGAAGGGAGGTATGTTATATTTAGTTTTGATCACTCAACTAACCAAATTACAGTAGCTCATATCTCACCAGCATGACATAACTAATTATTGGTGTCAAGCATTCTTGAGCTGTTATTTAGTATCATCTATTTGCTGTTGTATTTTATTCAACCTCTAAATTAAGTAATTATCCATGGTGGTACTGTCACCATGATATTTTGAATGAATGCATACACCTGTATGCAAAATACCGAACACCTGCTTGTAGGTAAAATTATGAAAATATATCTCTTAATTAAATATTAATCACTTAATTTAATCAGTTATTGCTCATTGATTAATACGTTATTATTAAATATCTGTGTGAGCATACTGCTGATACACTGGCTCTTTATCATGTGCTAAAAGTGTAAAACTTTGCTTATCAATTTACATCTCAATTAAAATTTAGTAATCATTTCCTAGAATTCTTAAATTTCAGTTTTTGGACATTTAAGTTGACATTACACATACCATACACAATGACGGTGCAAGGGTCTAAACATTTTTAACAGGCTAGTGGGGTAGAGCCCTTGAAAAACTGGGTAATTCTGGGCTATTTTAAGCTTTTCTGAGATGTTTTAGCAAGTAATTATAACTCAATTTTTAAAAAAGGAAAATAATTTTTATTTTTGATCTGATGAATCATGTCCAAGGAAGGAGACTTGTCCTGTCAAACAGGGGAGTCATGTCCAAGGAAGGGGACTTGTCCTGTCAAATGGGGGTAAGTCCCCCTCTCATGCTGGAGCTGCCACTGACTACACAAATTTTTATATCAATCAAACAACTGTTTAGATCACATTTCATAACAACCATGTGGTAAGATCTTAAGAATTGGCCTAAGGGCATCGCCATTACTTATTTTCCCCATAAACTACATTTTTTTCATTTGTCAATAACATTTTATTTCTATTTTGGCCTTCATCTTGATGCTTTTGGCTAAACCTTTTTCTTAAATGAGAAAACAAAAGTCTTTTTTTTTTTTACCCAAACTTTTCACAGGATCTTTCAAAGATAAAGTTTGCTATAAAAAATTGCTTTTCACATTGTCTTATCGCTGTGTATACCACTTCTTACTGCAGCCTTCCCTCTAACTAAAGACTTCCAATTAAAGACCACCTCCAATTAAAGACCACTTTTCTGTGGTCCCAAATTAACAAATGTCTTTTATCTTTATTATTCTAATTAGAGACCACAGCTGCTAAGGACCACAGAAACCTTGGTCCAAAAAGTGGTCTTTTTTTGGAGGTATTCATCTTAAATTTTTGAAAACATGGTTATAATTTTTTGGAGCGAACACTTAGTAAATGCATTTTTGAAAAAAGTAAGTTTGTATCTTGGAGGGTCACAATTTAGGTTCTACTCTGCTAGTACAAAATATAGTTGTCATGACGTCATCTCTGTAAAGGCGTTCATAGAAAGGAAAGTTCGTATGTTGGAGGGTCACAATTTAGGTACTGCTCTGCTAGTTGTACAAAATATAGAACTTCTCATGACATCATCTCTGTAGGCATTCATAGAAAGGAGGGTCACAATGTAGGTACAGAGGAACCAGTTGTTCCTCTGTCAACATAACCCACATCTTAGAACTTGGTAATTAGTGATTAGATTAAATAATTATACTATGAGTAAATTACCATCAAATAGTATGACTATGTAATTTGGGAAAATGTCACAAATTATACAGTATGGAGATTACCTATGCCATGCGGATCAATGAGGACTGTATTATTGACGGATTTTAGTTCATAATTACACTTAATATTTCCACTCTATTCCTTAGTCTGTACCCTGTTACTACTGTAGTTGAGGTTCAACTAAAAGTATATAAGCCCCTCGAAATAAATAACAGGAACCTAGATATTTTAATATTTATAGGATATTTTGTTGATAATTTACTGGCCTAATCAAATATCCTAAGGTGCCTCTGATATTAAACCTTATTGTAGTTATACATCAGTGATTATTTAACTCCCGCGGTCATTCTCCATTTCCATTTAAGAAGTTTCAGTTACAAAATCTGTGCTCCTTGCGGAAAATTCAATTCCATAAGTACACAGTGATGTGATATAAATAACCGAGAGGATCTTAAGTAGTTGTAGAGTAGTATAGTGTTTGGGATAATCCCATGGCTATTGGCATTGTTCCATTCCTTTCATCTATTGTTTATAAAATCTTTTAAGTGTGTTTATAATTCATCTACGTCTGTTTTTATAAGAGGTTTGGGACTGAATTGTGGGGAATTTTTGTATATGTATATATATTGAAATTGGGTTAAATCTTGTGCACATTGATTCACCAGAAGGCTGTTTCACAATAACATCCAAAAAAAAGTGTTTTTCCTTAAATGTTTGTTTACTTCCTTTTTTCATTGAAATCAGCTACGGAACATTCCTTCCCATGTAAAACAGGAAGCATTAACTCCTACATAAATCACGTCAGCCAGTGTCCATGAGGATTACATAATTGTCTCTTCCTCCGATGAAGCTTACTATCAAGAAGAATAAGGTAGCTAGTTCCTTCTCTTGATCATCAACGAAAGAGGCCTAATTTTTCCTCAGCAATCAAGGAGGATTTGTACCCTTCCCCATCAACAAGAAAAACTTGCCCACTCACTTTCTTGGCCATAAACAAATTAAAACTGTCCTCTGTCAGCCTTCAAGGAGGGTACAATACATTCTTTCTCCTTCCTTGGTCATTGATAAAGAAAGCCTGCCTTTTTCTTTAGCCTTCAAGAAAAATACAGTGGCCTCTTTCCTTCCTCAGCCAATTACGAATGAAGCCCTCCCTTCTCTTTAGCAATCATGGAAGATACAATGACCTGTCTCCTTGGCAATCCGTGAGGGTAACTTTCCTTTCTGTGTCCATCAAGGATGGATTACACTGCTCCCTGGATGTATGAGGGAAGCTTTTTTACTTCATGCCAGTTTATGTACCTGTTACTAATGTTGAGTCTTAACCATATTAAATCATCCTGTATACATCAAAATATACATTAAGTTTTGTAGTAAATATTAATTGATCTTATTTTGTATAGCATAATAATAGGTTAAGATAATTTAAAATATGTTCACTGATCTAATTTGTTTTATTATTATACAGCATCATATGTTGGTTGAACCTGGTAGATAAAATCTGGCCACCATGCAGGAGTATTTAAGCAAGTGTCCTGTGGTGATATTCACTTGATGGGATCGTGCCTTACACACCCATTTAATGATTGGCATTCTAAATGGAGAATTGATTCATCTTCATACAGTTTTAAGATTAGTATTTGAATAGATTGAGTCCAACGTCAAACAGATGCCAATAATCAGATAATAATCACTCTTTCCAAAATGAGATGACAACTCTTTGAGAAGGATAGCACTGAATGAAATCTTTTCTGTATCTTTTATGGTTTTAACTGTAAATTGTGTTTTGTAATTGTTTGTTGATATATCTTTCTGTTCCATTATGATAGCATACCATGATAAAGAGTTGATCAGTTGCAATACATTATCATATTTGCATTTACAGTGTTCCTAAATTTGTTCACTAAATTGGATACTCAAAATATAGTTCAAAAACTGCATTTTAAGAATTTATTTTTTTGTCTATTTTGAAAGTCATCAACATTTGCATTGAATATAAATTTTAAAAATTTGAAGAGAAAGCAAGGAAATATATGAAAATTGATAAATCTTGTTAAAGTATGTCTTTCATGTTTACGCCATTCAAACAATAAATAGATCATTACTTCAATTCATAATTCACATAAGGGGATATCTCTGTGCACAACATTTTAATATGCCCTTATATGTCGATGGACTGGTCACATGCTTACCTCAACTTCACTAGTTTATAAAGGGATTACAAATTGCAGATAAAATAGGTAAAATATGACTGGATATGATCCAAACACGTGGCACACAAGCCCTGACACTCCTCTTTAAAAAGAGATCCATACCTTATTAATGGGTATGGCATAAAGTGGACTTTACAAAGTGAGTCCCTAAACACTCCCACTAAAGCTGATTGTTTTCCTAAATTCTCTTTTAGCTATGACCAACATGATATATTTTCATGAATAAAAGTCTGAAAAAGAATTAATTGTCAGTGATTTTGTTTGCGTCTGCTAGACTATGGGTACGGCTTGCGAACAATCTTTGGCTAAAAAACACCTTTTTTTTTACAGCCTGACACCATCATCTTTAAAAATTAATATTAAAACTGAGCATAAAGTGGTATAACCAATCAACGTCATTAAGGTTGGAGCAGAGGCTTGCTGGTTAAGTGGTTTTCCAGTCATTATCTTGGGTTGG